ACAGAAATCATTAAAAAGAGCTGAAGTGAACTGCGTACCATTGTCCGTCACTATTGTATCAGGCAACCCGAAACAGCTGAATACTTTCTGCAGACTGGCAATGGTGGCTTCGGCAGATGCCTTGCGCATGCAAAAAACTTCTGGCCACTTCGTGAAGGCGTCTACGATTACCAGATAATACAGACCATCGATCGGACCCGCAAAGTCCATGTGTAGCAGTTGCCATGGCGCCTCAGGCGTAGGCAAATCGTGTGGTTCACATCGTGGTGGAGTCTTGGCAACTTGAATGCATCGGAGACAAGTTCGGCAATCGTCCTCCAAATCCTTGTCCATACGGGGCCAATAGAAAAGGAAGTGAGTCTTTGAGGTGACTGTCAGCCACAGCGAGCCGGTAAATGGTCCCTATTTGGAATTATTTCTTTTAGATAGAACAGGAGTTAGAACAAAACCAAGCCTGCAGGATACAGTCGGGTGTTCAGATAAAATGCAGCTTTTGGGTCATCGATGGTTTGCGATACTAGTCCATTGTGGGAATGATGCCACGACGCTTTTCGTCAATGGGTTACACGCAACCCGAAATCCGCTGACTTCTCGAAATGGCGTGAAGCTTCCGTTGGACTGCAGTAGGTTTACCGGGCTCATGGACGTCATCGCTCGGCGGAACCTCTACGAAGCGAACACTGCACAACCACGGTGTTCAAAGTTGTTTTTATCTAGACAAACTTCGTTTTAAGAACTGAAAACCAATGCGTAGGAGCCTGTCCATTTGCGAAGGAAGGGAGTTTAATCCAGACATTTATCACGGACACTCCATGAGGATGCGAACGCACTTTCCTCCAGCTGTCGATGGCGTTCAGCTATATGTCAAACAGATCCAAATAAAGCATCGTTCTTGGTGCTGGATCCAGCTTCGTGGTTACGAACGCAAGCGGAAGAGTGGATAGTGTTGGCCGTGGAAGCTGCATTGTACTCCACAGAGCGACTGACGCATGAGAAATGCGATTTTTCCTGCGAGTTCAAGCTTGGATCTCACATTCAGTGGGCAGTGAATGACGAATCATCAAGCTGACTGTTCAAGATTACCGTACGAGGCAACAGCTGAACAAGGCTGTTGGATATGACGCACGTTGTATCGGTGTAGGAGTGTTCGAGGAGTGTTCAGTAATCACAGGCATCCTACAAAGTGTCGTACTGGGGCTCACACGAAAAGTGACACCTACAGACCCTAAGCATACGGTGGGAAAGGTCAGTAATGAGGATAGGGAGCAGCGGTCGAAATTGCACATGTGACAGCTGGTCCGGCGTGCCATGCTGTGCACTTTTTGGGGAACGGTCTGTGGTTGCTCACCAAACACTGACGGAATAAAACGGAATTTCAACTAAGTGCGTTTCAACTGGGTGGTTTTAATCCAGCCACACATGGGACAAACATTGGGGAACAACCGAAACACAGTCTACAATGCGGATTGGAAGATAAACATCTCGAATCTGCTGCTTGTTGGCTATCATCTCGTATTTTGTCACTGTCAGAGGCTTGTGTCGCGGTTCCTATACAGGCTATTCACTGCGCTCACGTTACTTGAAAAATTTCACGGAAAACGGTAAGTTCGAATACTTCTCAACACAATCTTCCGCCTTGAGTACCGCAGGTTTTCCACTGGGGATTGTCTTTTACGAGTGACTGATGCGGGCTTTTTTTCAGAGAAATTCTTACACTGAGCATATTTTCCGACGGCCAGCGATCTAAGACATCAGTAATGCAAAAGCCGACTGTCCTATTCATGAAAAAAAAGATAGTCACAAGGACTGTGTGATCATCTAAGAACAGTTCATAGTCTGACCATTCTAGTCTTAGGCTTACTAGTTGCGAACTTTGCAAATACGTTCATGCTCTCACGATATTGAGGACATAACGTAGTGTAAACAGTCGATAAAGTTGGTAAACATAAAACGAGGGGCGAAATCACTGCTGAAGAGTCGTTATCTCATCGGCTGTAATTCCATAGCAAAAGCCGGGGACAATGACCTCAGTGTGTAACTGACCCACTTTGCATCACGACAAAATGCTTATAAGTTCTGCTAACACTGCTAACATTTATTTGCCCGTTCGGTCATGATAATTCGACTGAGTCCAGCGTGCGATGATCGGATGGTGGTGGTCATTCGAGCAACAGGTGAGCCCAGTGCTCCCCCTCTTTGGTATGGACTCACCAGAATGACTGTATCAGGACAGGAGGGGGAATATTGCTCAAATGAAATTGATGGGAATATCAGTCCTCACATCGTTTGGTCTGAAGAACTATTGCAAGTGAGCGCAAAATTTGAACTCAGTTCGATTAGGAGTTGATCAGGTAGGTAGCTCTTTTGCCGAGTACGACATTTAGGTTCCAAATGTTTCATCATCAATCGAGGGTGCCCACTGATGATATTTCCTTGATTGGCGACAGAATGCTTGCAAGTCAATTGTCAAACTCGGCAGACAGATCAACTAGTAACACTGCTCGAGGTGTAACGGAGCAACCTGGCTAAGATAGAGTGAAGATCTCTGCAAATGAACGAGACCTGAATGCCTGAACTTTAGACCAACAAGTTTCTAGTCGTACCTTTTGGGTTTTCAAATCATTGGCATCATCTTGACTCAAAGGCCAGAAGTTTTGCCGTTTAGAAAAAAGCGAGCAATGCATGCACCTACGAAGATCTTGTGTGTATTCTAGGCGAAATAGCATACCTCATCAGGCCACCCGAACACACTGAACGGCAACAGTGCGGAACTGAACCAAGTGTCCAAGACATCCGGATCTGGATGAAGGAGGAAAAGATGACAGAGCATTGGTAAATTCAGAAGAACTGGTGATAAAAAGTTGTCATAACATACAAAACAAACATTTGGCTTCGAGAAATACACTCATTTGCAAATCAATTTGGTTTTTTACAAGAGATTCAACTGAATCCCTCGTTTATGATATTCTACGGAAACTCGGGGACTGCGCCTACCTGATGAGCCCCAAGAAGGGCGAAACCGGTCGTGGGCTGTCGAAGAGTAGTTTCCTTTGTGAAAATATTTGGCTTGCTCAGCGATGCTTTCAAATGACAATTCACGCATTCATTCACTTATCTAATCTGTCCGTATGCTTGTTCCGGTGTGACCTGACACGGATCTTGTATTCAACCATATTGACCGTCCAGATCTACACCGGCGTGATTCTGTGAGCCCAGACTAAAACGACCGAGCAACGTGCGGGTATGCTCGGTTTATTAGTAGTGCAGATCACCATGTTACTTAAACCGGGCCCGGTTGGTAACGTGTTCTCATTTGAGGTCTGTGGTACCATGGAAATTCCCGACTGTTAAGTTTAGAATGATGATGGGAGAGGTTCTCTTCGACAATCGTTTTGCAGATCAAGCCGATTATTTGTCAACATGTCCCGTCTTGTGGGCAGCGCGGGAGACCGGACCATCTCTGGGTACAATGCGGGTCCCAAATGTTTGGTTTTCCCCACCTGAATTATAAAACTACTTTCCGGTGTTCGCCCTGGATTTACATCGGATTGGTGGCGCTCAGTTGACAGCACCCAGGTACGACGCGGCCGATCGATGTGGTAGGCAAATTTAGGAACGGACGTCAACTCGCTGCTAGTGCATGTATTCATCCGAGTTTGGCCTATCCTGATGTGAAACGCCCTAAATCCACCAGACTGACCTGGGATGGGAAGACCGACGACTCTCGATCTCAGGATTCTATTCCCCGAGCCCCATTTTACCAGACGGACAGTGACGCTGCACTACGCTTGTCGGCTGTTGGACTAGTCTGTATCTGCTGTTCAGCCCCCGAAATAATCTGACCTAGGGTGATCCAAGGTGCGTACCAGGGTCCCAACACCCAGGCTATGTACGACTGTGCTTAAAACAAAACCCTATCTTAGGAGATCAAATGTTAAGCCCTCAGTCTCATGAACTTACTTCAAATTAACAGTGAGTACTGAAATGGTCAAAAGCAGAATCATCGCATTGATACTGCGTCTAGGATGTTTATGATAGCGTTTTCTGTCTCTCGAGTTGGCCGATTTCGACCAACAACCTCTGCACACGTGCCGTAACGGACACACTCACGGGAGTGCCCCCTAGAAGGTTCACGTTGGTACTTGTCGTCAGTCGCAGGCCAGAACAGTCTAACAGAGACCGAAAACTCTCCTTTTTCCATCCCATGACAAGTTATGGAAATTGAAAATTATACGCCACAGCTGATTATTCATGCAGCTTTTCGGTAGGAAGGAGTGAACAGACCATGCGGTCGGTGATCACTGAGAGTCCAAATAGTACAGTGTTCCAATACGAATCGAAAGAGCCCACAAACATGGGTGTTTGAACACTACTGCTGTCGTAGTTCTATTGCTGTTTGACCTGTGAGTTTAGAAGTCCAATCTTGAACACGTGGCCAGTTTAGCAGGATGGCATTGTCTGTTCGGATGAACTGAGTGCCCGTAGCCATAGTCGGGATACGTGTGTGCCCTTTGTATTGGTCTAGTCTGTATGATCCTACCTCTCTTTTTCTCGTCTAATCATGACGTGTACTGATTAGTTGATGATAAACCGAATGCAGTTATCTGCTGTTCGCAATGAGGATATGGCTATAATCAGGTCGAAGGGTCGAGTCATTCCGGATATTCATGCAATGTGCAATAGCGCGGATGCTCAAGTTGGATGCGAGAGCTGTATGGTGTCCTTGGGCTTTTTAGCATGAAGTCTTGTCTCGCAATTCAGCTCAAACATAAGGATCAACGTATCCACCTCAGATGAGGGGTTGCTTGCATCGAAATCGCTCCAGTCATATGCGAGGACGGTAGAAAACTAACAACGGGGTGGTCAATGCCATCACACGTACTGAACTCACACAATACAGTCGATGAAAACACATAGGGAGTGGCAGATGCGCGGAAATCGTAAACAAACCTTGTTCAATCCGTGAGGACTCAACCGAAAGTTGCTTCTCCGCCTCGGTCATGGAACGCGCAATCACCCAGCCAGTGGTCTCATCTTTCGCTGGATCAGTCTAGTGAGAAGAGAAGTTGAAAGGCGGTCAAGAACACGCAATTTCAGCAAGAACAACAGATCCGATATCAGACAATTAATCAGGGAAATGATGTTTACGAAGCAAAACTCTCAGAATAGCAAAGTTTTTAAGTACTTTACATCCAGTTAGGGCACAAACAATCCAGAAGACGAGATACTTGCCCGAACGTTTCTCCGTACAGCGAATCTTTCAAGCAGTCCTCAACGGACAACAGAAATAACGTCCTATAGATGATCCCAATGTACGCTGAAAAACTGAGATGCATTACTGTACAATTGTTTCATCCTTCACTGGGAATCATCAGAAGTGCGCATCTGACGAAACTCCAGGGAGGAAGAATCTATCTACACAATGAGTGCTTTCATCTGAGAAGTCGTCACTCAACAGCCAGTCGATAAGTGACTACGTGATGCGGATTGCGTGACTGAAGGATGAGTGGCGCTACATCCTCTGTCCAAGTGTGGGTTCATCGCACTGCTGATCAGCCGTTTGTGGTCGAATAGCTAAGAGTTCAAACTACTAACCGAGGGGTTGCCCGTTCGAAAGTCCTTGAAATTTCGTGAGATGCACACTGTTGACGATTTCTACTATGGGTTTTTCACCATGGATTTGCTTCACTTACAGGATGAAATCTCCAAAGAAAATTTGCAAGCCTCTACGCACTACTACAAACTGTCTAACAAAAGTCAATGTAGAGGAAGGCTAACGGGAAAAAAAACAGAAAAGCCTCAATCAAGTTTGAACTGCGACACTAAAAGTGTCCTAACTGGTGGATTCCAATAGATTAAAATGTTAGAAATAGTCGAAAAACAGAGGCTACTCTGAAAGAAACGCTCAATAAAACAGGTTGGACTGAACAAAAGTTCATCAGTAACCCCATCTCAACAGGGCCCTCTCGAGTAGAGACACTTTCTTGCAAGATTCGCAAACCCGACGAGTGGATGGTAACCACTTGTTCAGCAATCAGGGAATTCCAACCTGCTGTAGAGTTGCATTTGATCAATGAGCTCAAAGATCGTTGACCTAGCCGTTCTAGTCAGCGCTGAGGGCTTCCAAAGTATTGACTCGGTAAATCGATCGGTGAGAGCTGTATCGGCCTATGACCTTGGATGATTACGTCCTGGGTGACCCGAACCTCTTGTCTCTCAACGGAAGTCGTTGAAATTAGTAAAAAGGCTTCAGAGTACTCCGCCCAACCAATATGACACCTAATGATTGGGATCAAGGCTACGTCGGAAAATAACAAAAAACACGGAGTTTTTCCTTTGCATGGCCGATGAAAGTATCCCATCGGTTGCCGAAGGTATCTGCGCGTTTCAGACTGGGGATTACCGCTCCTGACTACTCAAGACCTGCGTGAGAAACTGTGTGACCTTTAACGGTGAGGTGTTCAACTCTGGGGAAGTGTACCGACAGATGACCAGAAGTCACAGTTTTCACACAATGCGATTCGAGGAGTGTCAACCACGACAAACATGCAAAAAGGAATCCTAGTCCGGTCGCCTCTGGAAATTATCCGAACGCCAGGTGAGGTACTGAAATGACGACTGACGCAATTTGATGCTGGCATGACTCTAACGCTTATTTTGAAAAAAACTTTGAATCACATTGGACAGCGGAAATCGAACTACAATCAGTGCTGCGCATACCTTTTTCGATCGATAGGCCGGAATCGGGTGACCCCACCAGAGTTGCCGACTGATGCACCAATCCCGATGCTTCCCGGGTGACAACCATTCAGACCAAACGTCCTTCTGGTAGGACGGATGAAACTTTATAAGGCCAGATTCAGCTGCCTGAATAGAACAAGCAGAGGTTAGATAGACGGATAATCATGGGAAAAGGATATCTCCTTCTAAGCATGCATATTATAAAGTCGAACTGTTGAAAGGACTTTGTAGTTACACAACATAGCTTTATACGCCATCCAAGCACAGTAAACAATGGGAAATCCGTCTTGAGTCAGCTGGATGTCGGAGGGTTTACTAAGAACTTGATGAATAGAAAGAAAACATTGCTATGGAGCGTTAATTAAAAGACCGAATTGAAATTTTGAGTCAATATCTTGGAGGTAAAATTGAACTGTGGCAAAATCACATGACACAGAGGGCATAGTCATTGTGCAGAGAGGGAATGCTTCCAAAAGCGGGCGTAAAAGTAGTCATTGTAAGGTTCTTCTACATTCCATAGTGTCTATTGGATTTAAAAGTTTCCTCGGAAACTGTCACTAGTGGGTGACTGGTTGCTACAGGGGAGGGTCGCTTCAGGGAAACAGCGCTGTAGGCATAATTCTATCAAATAGAAGAATATCCGTAAGTTTTACACTTTGGTTGTAGATCGGGGGCTGTTGACCTGTTTGCCGAGCTTGGCAATTTGCTTGTACATGTTTTGATACTGGTCATCAAAGCATCACCAGTAAGCGGTTGGATGTATACTTCCTCCTTATCCACTTGGGTTTACATAATTCACAAAAGAGTATTTGATATCTCTTGGTGTGATTGGCTGGTTGAGTACCAGCTTTATCGGACCAATGAAATTAGGATAACGTTGTTCATTAGTCAGACAATCACATCATGACGTATCACATACTCATTTATAGAGTATGCCAACACAAGCAGTTAGGGAGGAAGTACCCATCCAACCGATGACTGGTGATATTTCTATGACTAATGGCAAAAGCTCGGCGAACATATCAACAGTCACCTGATTCACAATCAATTACCGCACCCAAACCACCAGCATTTCGATATATATTTTTTCAACAATCTGTGGACCAGGAAAGATGTATCACGCAATGGGAAGTTATAAAGTTGCCTAAAGGATGTTGAGTTCTTGTCCCCACCGTACTGTTTACCCATCCCGAGTTAACTGTCACGCATTTCACAGCAATGTGTTCCCAACCGGTGCCAAACTAATTGCCACAAACAACAAAGTCCGTTGGGAAGCAGCTTCGAATGACATGTGACACGAACCGTAATTACGCCGAGGTCCGGGTAATTAGACCTAGATACAACCGTGAAATTATACGGTGGACAAAGTAATGTCTTCTTATCTAATATGGGCAGAATTACCACTTTTCCAGTTCAACTAATCTGAGCAGGGCAAAAAACATAACGATGACAGGTAAGACGTCCATGTGGCACTGGTACTACTCACTTTCATAGCATGCTCAGCCATTTCTTGCGTTCGGAGAAACCATTGTTCGCGCACAATCGGTTCTATAACATCACCCGATCGGGAACAGATTGGCAAGACGGTCACTTCTCCCAAGGATGCAATATCCTCACGCTTCCGATATAAACCAAGGTCAGTCAAGCGTTGAACTAGCCGCTCACGGGCAACGAAGCGAGGCAAGCCCTGTATAAGGAAGAATAAGCAAGTGGACGGTTACTGTCCCGATCTGAAGGTGTGGGAATAGCGAAATCAAATTATCGGTGCGGTGAAAAAGAGGTGGCATGTGCCCACAAGCAAAGTGCATGTAATCAGTCTAAACAAGAGGAAGTTAGAGAGTGAAAAGAGTGTTTGACGGTCCCGTGGTTGGATGTGGCTTGAACGAACCCGAACCTGTATAGACGAAAAATCAGTTTTCATTTCTGTTCGCGCCCTCAGGAGTGAGCAATAGTGATACCAAGATAAAGTCCACCAACCACGTTATACCATCGCCGTCAATTTTTGGGAGAGACACGGATAAGCGGGGGTGCCGGTTTAAATAAGAACACTGCAATTTTTCTGTCACAAAGAGACTGGACCTTACCGTGGTGTGACGACTTGCGCACCTCAGCGATCCATTGAGCTATACTGGGGAATGTCCCCGTGACACTCACAGAGTCCATCATACCAGGTTGGTCAATGGTTAGAGGTCTGACGAACACAATCTGCTGGCCATCCATTTTGGGGGTTGGAACATGTGGCGACGTGTTCCGTAGAAAGGGTAATGCATTTGCATTTCCCGCCAAACACCGCTGCCTTGCGGTTAGGCTTTTGAGCCAAAGGCTTTGGTTGAGGACGCTAATCGTCCTCTTGTCTAGGTGTGGGCGCCCTGGCAATATCCTAGCCCCCGTACAACCATGAATTCACAAATTTACGGCAGTGAAGCGTCGGTGTTGAACACTGATGTCACGCTGTCGATGATGATTATGATGATAACCACAATTTTTCAACACACATCACTCGAAACAACTGCTCTTGAATGTAAGACAAGTCCAAAAGATTAGGAAAATGAGATCATGTCGCATGCTGAGAGGGGTGCGAAGTGCCCCTGATTTTCAAAGCCAACACCCCTAGGTCACCATCATCAGTATTGACAGTGATGCTTCTCAAAATGAGAAAAAGGACGTGGGAGAGACCGGGAGCTAGTGTAACACAAGCCCTATCGGGTACCCACATTCCTAAACGCCAAATTAGACAGCCTGAAAAGATACAAACAGCAGAAACGTTACCGACATCGGTGGGCGGCCACGTTTTCTAACCTATCCAGTCAAATATAGGGAGGGACATGGGGATCTCATTCTGGAAAACTGACCGCAAACTACACGTAATCCCTTTGAAATGTACGGGAAATCACTGATAGATGATATCTATGAAAATTTCGCACCAAAATCAAGCTTCGCCATAAACCCACAAACCTTTTTGTCAATCTCGGGTATACAATGGTCTTCTCAGTTGTATGGACGCCTTATTAGCAAACCGCACACGTCTTTGAACAGATCGATGCGCGGGATTCTGCGACAGGGAAGTAACATCGTAAAAAAGGGGTACGTATCTAGGCTGAAAAATAATTTTTCCAGACTGCCATCGTCGAGTCGTGCGATGCAGGGATCGACAGCCTCCAAAATCTGTGTAGTAGAGCTCAAATGTAGACATTTTACAAGAACGCACAGACGTTTTGCCGAAAGCCGACAACATGTCTCAAAACCGCTTGCTAGTGAACAGTTCACCCACAATAGATAGCACGGAATGATAGATGATCTGGAGGGACAGATTCGTGAGAATCAAGCTAGATTTTGCCCTGGTCGAAGATGCATCGACCATATCTTTCCTTCAAAAAATCCTTGAGCGGCGCCACTCCTTCGGGCGTCCCAAGTTGGTCGTTTGTCTGGAGTTGAAAGCTGCTTTTGGTTGTGTCGACCTCCAGCAAATTTGGCAGTGTCTGGCGATCAAATTCCTCTTCCCTATGGGCGCTCTGGATGGGAACTCCTGTGGGCGCGTACGAGTATACGAGAAGCTCTCGGCTGAGTTCACCACGTCCAGTGGTGTAAGACAAGGCTTTCCTCTTTCCCCATTCCTCTTCAACTTTGTTATTGATGTGCTAATTGAAATTTCTCTGTCTGCCTATGAAACCTCGAGAGTCGAAATGCCCCCGGGACGTTCCCTCATAGACAGTGAGTGTGCGGATGATATTGCTTTCCTTGGCTCAGATCCTTCTCAAATTGAAACGATTTTAAATAACCTAAATAACTCTGCCTCAGGACTTGTGCTTCACACCTCAAAGTGTAAAATGCTGCTACAAGACTGGGTGGGATCAAACCCACACCTCATGCTTGCAGATGAGCCAATCGACATGGTAGATAAATTTGGTTACCAGGGCAGCTGTATAAGTTCCGGTGGACTAGCTGGACATGAGATTATTTCTCAAATCGGATAAGCCAGGGCAGCTTTCGCAAACCTCCGACACCTATTGTGCCGGCGTGACGTCAGCTTGTCTGTCAAGGGAAGAGTTCACACCATGATATTTCGATCCAAACTGCTTTATGGAACAGAGACGTGGCGCCTACACGCAGAGGACGTACGGAAGATATCAGTGTTTGATGATCAGTGTTTCCGAAGCATTAGTCAGGTCTAGTGGGAACATTGGGTTAGTAATGCTGAGGTAAGCCAGATGGGAGAAGGAACTCTCCTACGATAGGCTTCATGGGCTGCGCTGGTTAGGAATCCGCGTGCCAAAAGACCGTCTGCCTCGCAGAGCTGTTTTTCTCAGCCCAGTGCTGAGTGAAAGTGACCGAGAGGCGAACCGTGTATGGCCTGGAGCGAAGTACGAAAACACTAACCAGTAAACTTAGTTGGGTCGGCAACTGCCGCCTTCCTGGATGGACACCCGGGACTCAAATATCCAGTGGTTAATGACTACCGCAAATGGACCAATCACGCAGTCAGTGGCGCTCGTGTATCAAAGCTGTCGCTCAATGCGTAGCTACCCATTTCATCAACAAACTGAACATGCCTTCTTTTTCAAGGCCTGGTCGTATTTTTCACTTTTCCCGTTTTCTGGTGATCCAAACGGTGGCAGCTGGAACCAACGTGCCTATGGCACATGGTTTATAGCTCACAAATTGACCGACCTAACAATGATGGACTCGGTTGAGGTATCGCTACGTACCACTACGCTCCCTAACAACGCACTGATGATGTCACCCAGATTGGTGACGAATCGCACGCGATCAAATTGCCCAGCTCAGCGAACAAACTAACGACCATCTACGTCACCTGAGCTACAAACATTTTCCGCTATAGGATTCCATAGTGTTTGACTGTCCTCACGGCCACCACATTAGATCTTCACGAACACATCTGACTGAGTTTTCATAACTCTGTTGAAGGCCAACAAACTCCTTTTTTCGTTATCACGTCGGAACTATTGCAACATAACGAAGCTACCATAGATGCTGAACTAATAGTATCCCACTCAGTCAAACAGATTCAGATCGAATTTCTGGGACTTACTGATGTAGGTCGGTGAGAGTGATGGGCAACTGAATCAGGTGAGTATGCGGTTACCACCAAGTAACGTCATATAAATGGTTGGTAGTGATATCGAACTGAGAGGGATACTTAATGAGAACGGACCAGCGGCACACACTGCACGCATCTGAATTATCACGTCTAAACGGACGAACGTGTTCACGGTGTGACCAGTGTGCCTAATGCATTGCTGATTCCCATCTTAGGCGTAGACTAGGCAGAGCACATCCTTTGAAAGGAGCTCGATAAACAATCGGTAGTTTTTTTACTGGGCAACGTTTCGGTTTTGCCACAAAAGCTTTATCAGGGCAAGTAAACAGGTCACCAAGTTGGGCAGGTTTTGAGGCAGACAAGAACCAATCAGTAAGACGTCTTCGGATTGGCGCACTAGATCAGTGTTGAGTGTCCATTAACGGCTGTTGTCGTGTAGTGTGGTTGCCAAAATCTTGAGTTGATGGGTCGGGAGAGCTTCAAATTAGTTCCGGTCGGGTTTCCTCCTTTAATCTTCCACTTCAAGGTGCTTCAGCTGATGGTTCACCGCGGGTGCCGCTGGTAGATTCCGTTGGTCTTCGTGGGCTTGCAACAATTTAGTTGGGGGAGGGGAAGTGGGTGAGGTTAAGTGCAACTGAGATAACGACTTTTCACTTTGATAATCGCACACCAACCTGTGTAAGCACGACTTATCCGAAAACCGTTCTGCACACGCTTGCTAGTTCCACACTAGCTATTCTGTTGACACTGGGATGCTCGGCGATTTCTACCGCCTCGGTCATCAGTCTCTGTGGCGTGGACCGCGGTCCTCCTCTGAAAACCTCAACATTTCCTAAATCTGTTTTGTATCCTGTGTCCAGTGCATGTTCCGCCATCCCAGTTTCTCAGTAACGCCCAATATCCATCTGCATTTCTCGGCGACCTGTTTAATTTTCTTCTGCGCCCTCCGACTGGCATGAAGTTCCCTGGCCGTCTGTCATACATAGATAAGAGTAAAAAATTAGGTAATCGTTCAGCTGTACCACCCTTTCGGTGCCTAACTGTCACGCTACCTTCTGTTTACCTGGAGCCGATCGCTCAATTGCACAAGTGCAGAGCGCAATGTTTCCCCCCTCCTATGAATCTACTCTCATGTGAACTCTGTTTAGAATTGATCTCAGCAATCCCAATCGATTTCCCGTTGGGTTTCGCTATCGGTATCAACACCTATTCAGAAGCGTCAAAAGCGAAACGTTGCCCAATAAAAAACCACAAAAGAGCTCGGGATACCTTAGTGGTTGAGGCACAAACTTACTGACCGGAATGTCTGCGGTTCGAGCCCAAACGGAACATCTTGACTGCTCCTATCTAGGTTTGGACAACCGGACAGTAGGTCAGCCCTCGTGCCTCCTTCGGGTGGCATGGAGCTAGGCACCGAAAAGGTGCCACAGCTGTGTATCCATTAATCAACTTAATCCGTTAGGATTATGCCGTCACCACTTTTTTCCAACCACTGTCATGTTCACCATAATGTGGAGAGAGATAACCTTGTGGAATTGTGGTTGAATAACCTGGACTTGAATACTACTCATCAGCACCTTACGACTGACTGCCGGTCCCGGTTTCAAAAAGTTATATATCCTTGGATTTATTATTAGACGCGTAGAGGAAAAAACTCACTGCAAATTCACCACCCAAATTTGTCACTTTTCCACTAGAATCCAGCATGTTAAGGATCGGCAATCCGTGGGTTTTGGCGCATTCCCAATCAACCTGACTGTGACCGGGGCTCAATTTGACGACACCTGCAAAAAAGAAAATTAGACTGGGTATGGATTCATCCGAAAAACAAACGGAAGGACGGTTTGTTGTTGGTGTCCTTCAACAAAGATCACCTCCCTACAATGATCGCTTTAGCCAAATCGTCCATATTCCTCATACGAAATGATGTTGACATCGTGTTCGACAGAGCTGAATTAGCGTTTCGAGTAATATCCAGGGGTGAAACAAACTTAGAAACTCGAAGTTCGTACGCAATACATGCCATCGCGGAAGCACTGCCGCACAAAGTCTAGTTGACGCGGCAAACAAACGTTTAAAAACAAGCGTCTGCACTTTGTAAACTGGGGTCAATAAATGACTCAGCATACGAGTGGCCAATTGCAAAGTAGTTTGGTGTTGACGGAGGACTGAAAAGGGTCTATAATTTGTGATAGTTATCAACTGAATACTCTGAACAAACACTGCCTCATGTTTCAGCTGAGACATTATTTGATATTTTAGGACAAGGTGACGCTAGAATGACGGTCTCATCTCTCAGCAACGCAAGCTTGCAAGCGATCACATTCTACGTGCATACGGAATATCTGAACCACATAAAACAATTATATATATATATATATATATGTATATAGAAAAT